TGTTACAGCGCAAAGCCCCCGACCGTGACGAAGCCACGACAATCATGGCGATGATGTAGTCCGTCGACCAGCCGTTCGGCGCCGACCGTGCCAACGTGAACGGCAGGAGGAACACGGTCAGGCCGCCGGCGAACAGGAAGACGCCGAAAGCTGTGCACCAGATCAGTTACTGAAACAAAACCACCAGGGCTTCGAACCCCCCTCCCCCAGACCGGCTGACGGATATCAGGCACGAACTCACCATCAAATTCTTTGAGGCCGTATACGATCTTCTGGGGAATGGTCCGGCCGCTCTTCTCCCTTGTGTTGATGAGGCCCTGCTTCTCGGCCTTGCGGAGGTTCAGCTTGAGCACACCGAACAGCGGGAACGTGACGATGGGAACAATGATGGCCATGCATCCGAATCCCCATCGCCAGTTGAACCCGTTGAAACCCTCGGCGGCCTTGCTTCCGGCGAACGCCGTGATCATGTAGGGCGAAGATGTGAAGGCGAAGGCCAGGCCACGGTTGCGCAGGTTCGTCGCGTCGGCGGCAAGCACGCATACAGTGTAGATGGCACCACCGAAGCCGACGGAGTAAAAGACCTGCGCGGCGCAGAAAGTGGCTAGGTTCTCCGAGACGGCCATGAGGACGAGGCCGAGTGTCGCAAAGCCGATCATGAGCAGGAAACCTTCGGCACGACCCCAGACGTCGAGCATCTTGGCCATGGGGATGTACACGGCAGCCGTGATGGCGCTCGAGACGATACCAATGACCGTCAGAAGCGAGTGCGACTGGAAGTCGCTCGTGACGTATGGCGTCAGGCCCCACAGGATCGAAAGTCGGAACCCGTTGGTCAGGAAGAGGAGCCAAATGCTACGATATGTCAGGGACGAGTCATCAAGGGCGTAGACTCTGCTGGGTGGACCATGTGGACTTACAGGATCAGACATGCTGCCAAGTAGCCCTTGGTCCAGGTCAGTGTCACAGCCTGGATCTTCTGAACACCGAGCTGCGCATCCTTGCTGGGCACCAGCTCGTCGGGGATGGCGTTCTTCTCGTCATCGTAGATGGCGCCGCCGTCAGCGCCCGCGGTGGCCGGCGCGGCTTGGATCTCGAGGTCGGCCGCTGGGGCGGCAGCTTCGGCGTCGCCTCCCGTCTGCG